GGTCCAGCGGTGACCTTGCCCACGCGACTTGGTCCGTCTGTCTGTCCCGGGCTGCCCTGCTCACCCCATTACCCTGCTCCCTTCAGGCGCCTGGCGGCCTCGCTCATGGCCGGAGCTCCCGCTGCTGCCGATGGGACCACCGGTGCCGAGCCTGCCGCCCTCGGCCCAGGCGCCTGTTTAGCTCCAGGGCTCCCGCCGTTCCCGGCCTCCCGGGGACACTTGTCCGTCCGGCGTCGCTCCCAGCGGCTGGACGGCTACGGTCAGGAAGCACTCGGCAGCCAGTGCCCTTCAGGGGCCGCCCAGAGCAGCCGTCCCACCCGCGTCGGTCCCGCGCCCGGGCCTCCTACAGCCACGAGCGACTGACCGACACAGGAGGTGAAGTTCCAGCCCGGGGTCAAGGCTGAGGGGCCAGCCCAGCCCCGGAGCATCCTGCGGGGTCAGCTTAGGCTTTTGTTGAGTCTGGACCACAACCCAACTCACCTCACGTCCAGCGGTCTTCCTGCCCTTGGCCCCCCGGGTGTTAACCCCCAGAGCATCCCTAAGAAACGGCCGGCGCTGGTCTCCACCTCAGAGCCCGCCTTCCAGGGGCCCACCCCCTGGCTGAAAGCGTCCCCCAGTTTATGAAACGTTTCCTGTTCTTGCATCGCGATGCCTCCGACGTCCCTCAGCCGGGTCACTCAGCAACGTCGCGGCCCCTCCCCTGCCTCTGGCCTCACTCCCGTCTCCTCCGCGCTCCCCGGGGGCCCTGGAGACCTTTAGGATGCAACCCCGAGTGTGGACCCACCCGGCTTAACCCCTTTCAGTGGTTCTCAGGCGCCTCCAGGACACAGTCCGGCTTCCTCGGCAGGACACACAGACCGGTCCTTGAACCGACACACAGGCCAGTCCTTGAACCGGCTCCCGCCCGGCATTAAACCTTCCTCCTGACCGTGGCTCCGTTCCGTGTCTTCACGGAGCTCACGTCCCAGTGAGACTTGTAAATATTAAATAGCAATCACAGAAATAGATGTAATTTCAAACAGAGACATAGCTACGGATAAAAAATATGGGGCCTAGAAAATATAGGCTATAAAACAAGTATGAACGGACAAGACCTTACTTTCAATTATGACGTGAAGTCTCGCCGGAAACAACACCTAAGCCTTGGCCTGAGGCCCGAGTCGCAGTGAACCAGACCGTCCGGTGAAGAGGCAGACGGAGAACAGACACTGGGTCGCGAGAGGCTGTTTGGGGTCAGACGCGAGGCCCGAGAGCTTGGGGCTCCTGCGAATGGAAGGCCTTGGGCCAGGGAGGAGGGGGCCCAAGTGCAGACACGCAGGGTGATGGGAACCTAAATTGATCAAAATACATTCATTTAATAATATTATTATTTTTTTAATCAGACGAGAATATGTTTGATTTTAGAGAGAGGGAGGGAGAGAGAGACCCTCACCGGGATCGAACCCACAGCCTGGGCATGTGCCCCGACCGGGAATTGAACCCC